ATATATTACTTTACTATATTAATTTACCGTTCTCAATCCAAGGAAAAGAGAAATAAATGATTCGGTCTACAAAATTTTTGGGAAAGAATACGAGCTAATACTCTTTATATATTCATTTTCCGAGTCTCAATTTATGTGATATACATTTTTCTCTTTAAATCAATCCTAAAAAAAGACATGTTTTTTCAGAAATAATTTATTTTAATTTGAAACCTTTTATTTATACTTAATAAGACGATTTATAATAAACTATCTTTAATTTATTTTAAAATACAAGTTTTAAAAGTCATTTTTCTTTTTAAGCTTGAAATCGGATTAAATTATTTCATATAAATTGGGACGGAAAAAATATCTTGTGAAGAACCTGCCTACATTTCAGAAGATGACAATGTCATGACTCATGCACATATTCATAGAACAGTTATATGGAGTCAGGAGATTAAGCTACTGAAAATAAATTATTGTTTACAACAAAACATTGGTGAAAACTTGCACCCATCATTTATATATTTTTTATTATATAGTAATTTCAAAGTCTATAGGAATAGTAATTCTGAAACCAGCATTCTCTCATATCGCAGTGTAATCACATTGGTGGATTCATTATTTAAATTTGATGGGTTTGATTTTAAATTTTGTTATTATTGAACCTAGGTTTTGCAAATTAGGGATAATGGTACGAGTTTACTATTTATTACAAATTTAGTAATTTTTACATGGACTTGCGTACTGTATGTAGAGGTGCGTATACATGAGGGTAATCGGGTTCACGTGAATCCATACTTCCCTTTCGAAATCATATATAGTAGTGTTATATTTTTTATTTTTTTTGTTAAATATAGATGTGTGAACTTAGACACCAAGTATTATATAATGTGACGATGATCGGGTGCACCTCTTAGTGAGGTTAGAAATTTGAATTTATATCTATCTTGTTTTTTTTCTTTCTAAAATTGGATTACACCTCTCTAAGTGGTTATTGATAGTACTTTTGACTTTTTAATTAATTAAGCATTTCAATTTTGGACCTATAATTTTAAACTTTTAACTGTTTTCAATGATAAGAACCTAAATGTCAAACCGAGTAGATCCACTTTTTTCGTAATAGTGCATTCATCATCTCGAAATCCTGAATATGCCTCTGAGTCTTTATGTCATTGAAAACGATGAGTTCTATTGAGCTCAGGGCACAACTAGGGGTGCGGAAGGAGGTTTACCAAGCTAAGTCTCTATTTATAGGAAAATTAGTGTGTATATATATAAGAAATGAGAAATGTTTAACTCTCTTAAAAATATTCACTATAACAGAAACAACTTTTAGCGGCAATAAATAAGCACAATAATAAAGAGTGCTAAAGTCTTTATCGACATTAGTTAAGTGTCATTAGATTCAATGTCGCTAAAGGCTTTAGGGACATATGCAAAGAGTGCTAATTGCTGCTAAAAATACATATTTAGCGACAATTGAGTTATTACCGTTAATTAATTGTCGCTAAAGATATTTTTTATATAGTGATTCTACCTCCACCACATGATTGATTGAACCCATGGCACATATGCTATATATCCGTCTTGAAAGGGTATATTTGGGTCTAAATTTTGGGACAAGGTGAACTGATGATCTCTATATTAAACTAGGTATTTATGTATATATATTTTAAGAATAATGCAATTAATTGGCTGAATGTTAAATTATTTACTCATATGAATAAGGATCAATTTTCATTTAATACTCTCTTTTATTAATCCGTGCACCGATATTTTAAAAACATTACCTCTGACTATTACGAGTTAGAATTTATCAACTTTATTACATTGCAGCTACCTAACTAAAATTTTCTCATTTTCATTGTTCATGTGACAAAAGATAATGATAAATAAATGTGGTGGGGTAATGGTATATAGAAGCATACAAAAAATAGATCCAAAAAAAGGTGTGAAGTTTTCTACAAAATAGAGTGGCAAATGAATTAATTAGAACCACCACCCACCTATATACTTCCTCTAATCAATTTTACTTGTCATATTTTTTTTTCTACATACCACATTAATTTATTTCCTTATTATATTGAGTAATAAGAATAAAAATAAACAACTATTTATAGTCAAACTTAATATTAATTTTATATGTCATATTTTTTCTTCATATTAAAATATTAATTTTCACTTGTATCTAAATTTTCTAAATCAACTACTAATTATTTTAATAAGCACGACAATTAAAATAGACGGATAGAAATATGAGTAGTTATTTACTTTCCTTGTGTTAATTAGGAGCGTTACAAACACGAACTACCAACAAGCGTATAGCAATAAAATCTACATATAATAAATTTTAAAAAAATGGAAAGTGAGGTGTCATGAGGCTGTATCTCCCCCTATAAATTAGCATAGTTGGGGTTCCTTCTCAGTAGGGTTTTTGAGTACCTAATCATCATATCTCTCTCTCTCTCTCTTTTTTTTCTTTCTCAAAGCCTCTCAAAGGCTGAAAAAATAGGGTTAGGGTTTATAGTGTTAGGTATGATGATGATGAAGTAGAAAAGTTTTATATATTGTGTGTGGTGAGTTTGAGGGGGATGTTGTTTGGCTCGACACAATTACTCTCTTGTATGTGTTTATTTATTCGTCATCAAGATTGATGTTGATAACGAATAAATTAAACACAACAAGATATGTAAAAAGGGAGTAAAGGCGTCGGACCAGGCTTCATTCCTCTCAAACAATATTCTACTTCTACACAAAAACACTTGTAAATTTTTTGTCTTGACTTTTTTTTTAATTATGGTTTTTGTAATGTTTGTTCACCAAAAATAAAATTAATCTTGTTAATGGGGTTGTTGTCTAGATTATGTAAAAAAAAAATGTTTTTTTTTTTTTTGCAGGTGTGTTTGGTCGGTTTTTCTCTACCAAGCTAGGGTTTTCTTCCAAGAAAAAAACATGAAAATTATTACATATATATGCCCTTGTAATTTTTTATTTTTTTGTAGTAGATTTATTTTTCATCACCTTGAAATTAAGTCACTGATCTTAATGTTAGAGAAGGTGCTGTTTGTTTTCCAGGGAGGGTTAGACACAGAGATTATGTATTTTGGTAGCTAATTAAAAATTATGGTGACAAATGTACTCTTTTAGTAATTAATTGTTAGATCTTTTTATGTAATCAGCAGTGATGCTAATTAGTGACTCTGTAACTGTATTCATATTCATATATATATTATTTTTGTTTATTCTTGTTATATATATGTACTGTTTCTCACATGAGTCATGTAAATTTTGTTTTATATATACAGACTAAAAATATTTAGTTTTAATTTTATTTTGTATAACAATCGACTTTGACCTTTAACTTGTTTGAGATTGAAGCCTAGTTAATTTATAAGTATAGTTTAGTGTTTCCTCATTTTCAATTCATTACTACTTCGACGGTCAAATAATATAGTTTCTCACCACAATATTTAAAAAAAAATTGAATTCTCAATTTACATGAAACGTTAGTTAGTTTGACCCGAATCGTAGTAAAAAAAGATAAACATTGATTTAACATGTTGGTAAGGAGTAGTTGATAGAGTTTTGTTGGTATTATTAGTGAATGGGTTCACTTAAAGTAAAAAAAGATGGAGAAATTCCAAATTCTGTGTTTGAACAGATTAGGTTTTTATGTAAAGTTTGTTTGAACAAAAACAAAACATCCCTAGCTAGAGTAGCCTCCTATACTCTGTTGCTACTTGTTTCACTAGCAAACTTTTAAACCTCATACGTAATTTATTAAATCAATCTCTTTTTCCTTTCTGACATATATTCTCAATTTTAACTCAAACTCATCCATAAACAACAAGTAGAAGATAGCTGAATAAAACAAATATATATATATATATACTACTTGATTTAAAATACTACTCTTTGTCTCTGTGTATGTGACACTATAGAATTTCGAGATTCAAATTTCTTAACTTTGACAATAGATTTGGATAAAAAGTTTTAAGCTTTATGAAATAAAATTGATATATTTGAGAACTACGTAAAAAAAAAATACCATAGATCATACTAATTAATAACTACAAATTTAAAAGAATTAAATTAATTTCAGTCAAAGAAAAACTTGGCTGATTTTCGAAATTTCAACTGTTCCATATACATATTGGGACGAAGTATCATTCAATCCTTTAATCTGATTCAAAAAGAATTTCTTTTTTCCTTTTTGATAACTCTTTAATTCTAAGTTTTATTTAAAGTCACAATATGTTAGACAAAATAATTGAAACGAAGGGAGTATATATGTTCAAATCAGATCAAATTGGCAACATCTATTAACGTTTAAATGCTAGTGCGTAAAAAGAATTTTATACAACCAGATCACTTATACCGTAACTATAAGTTATTTTTTATCATAAAATTCATTAGTAGTAATAAATTCAAGTTTAATAAACTACCAGAGCGATTTTTTTTTTTATCAAAGCAAGTCTCCTATAAGGTTAAAAAATCTCCCACATATTTAGATTGGTGATATCTGATAGTGAGTTTAAATTCTAGGTGCTAGCAGTTTATTAAGAGGGTTTTATACCATAATAAGGCTAATACTTATAAAGTATACAATTAAGTTACTTTCTATATTAAACATTATTCAATATTCACCCATTTCAAAATAAGTATCACTTAATAAAATTAATAAGAATGTCCTAAAATAATTACTACTATCAATTTAGAATTTAAAAACAAGAAATAATAGTAATTTTTTCCAACTACATTAATAAACATCTAATAAATAGGGTTATTTAGTAAAGCATAAACTATACCTTCTATTAATTACAAAAGATCAATTCTTTGTGAATTTGCACTTAACTTGAAATCAGGTATACAACTATATCTATGTCAACATTAATCCACCAAAAGGACGTGGTGGTGCAGTGGATGAGGATGTTTTTTTCTTAACGGTCTCAAGTTCGAGTTTTGGGTATAGAAAAATCCTTGATAGGAAGTGCTACACCTTGAATGGGACCCTACCAACGTGAATCCGGAATAATCGGACTCCAACATGGTACCGGAAAAAAAGTACTTCATCCATTCACTTTTATTTGTCATGTTGCGCTTTTCGAAAGTCAATTTGACTAATTTTCAAAGTTAAATTAGATTACATTAATTCGATATTTTAAACAAAAAATTTAAATATTAAAAAACTATACGAAAAGTACTATAAATTGCAATTTTTCTCATATGAATATAGGAAAAAATACATCATAAAATGTTAGTCAAATTTTTTATAGTTTAACTCTAAAAAAAAAGAGACTAGGACAATTAAAGTGGACGGATGTAGTATATGTCAACATGAATTGTATAATAAGTTGAATAAATTTGTAGTCTAACTTTAGTTGGATTTTTGTACTCGTATAGAGACTAGAGTAGTATTTTCTTTGCTAAACTAACACTTATTTTGAAACGGATAGGAGAGAGTATTGAATATTGTTGGGAAAAGGAGCGTTTGTGAATTGACTGAAGAAATGGAGAGCGTTGCGTTGGTAATAAATAGATAGAAGTTGATCCAAATGCGTGATCAGCTTTAATGCTTTAACTTATTTATTGCATCATTATTTTTAATATTATAGCCTTTTGCCATGTTACGAGGATCAAGTACTACTGTGTCTCTGTCTGAATGAATGAAATTATTAGAGTTTTTTTTTTCTCTTTAATTTTTTTAAAAATAATTTAATTTCTTTTATTTTTGTGTGTGTGTGGTGGGGGTGGGGTGTTTATGTAACTGAATAAAATCAGTAACTGTCTTAATTTAATGGCTAAATATGGTTGTTGGATTTGGAAGCATTGAAGATGATGATGTATATTTTAAGGAGAAGTCTCTCTTTTTGAGTTATTGAAAACACAAAAAAGATTCCGCTTAGGTTTTTTGAGAACAACAACGTATACATAACAACATGCTTTTACTAATGTCCAACCATATATATACTCAAACTCTGAAACCAACATTAATTTATTTATATGACTAAATTATTCCTTCAGTGAAATATGTTATTTTAGCCAAAAGGATTTTTCCTATTAGTATATGATTTTTACACGAGTTCTTCACCATGCTTCAATTGTAAGATTATAGTGGATATATTGTTGTATCATATATATGAATAATGACATGATTCAAGAAATTTACTTCTTCCATATCTAATCATCTACTACCCTCCCACAAAAGTATGAACACTAATTAAGCAAATTGAAAAATATATACCACTAAATACATCGAACTTAGTCCTTTGAATAATATAATGCTAAAATGTGTTTGTTTTACATAATAGTATTTAACTTCATTATGATCCATACAGATTACAAACACTTCTTTTATTGAACTTCCAATTTTACCTGTTTCATGTTGTATGATGATGTCAGACTAAATACAAAGTTTAAGAAAAAACACCACCACATGCGCTAATAAAAGCACAGTGGAAGATTTTGTAATCTTCCGTATGGCATGACATGTTTATAAGAGCATGCCAACATGAAAAATGTTAAAATTAATTAACAGTTTCCAAATGTAAAGAGTGCCAATTTTTCAGAGTGGCAAGAAGAGGAGATATTGTCACATGTAGGCGTCAGGCATAACTACTACCAAATCAAATAATAATAATATACTTGGAATAATGTCTTGTGATCTTGTTAGAGTTTGAACTTTTTGTGTGTATATTGATCGACGTCTCAAGATCTTTTAGTTAAAAAAGAAGATAAGAAATGAAGATAATTTTAAAGAAATAAGGTATAAGAGGAATGCAAAGAAGATTTGAAATAAGAAGCTTAAAGCAAAAATCTTCAACATAAATTATAACTGGAGAGTGGAGACCCTTTCGGCTACAAAACTGTTGTATTGAGTCAACTCTGTACAAATAAACTATATGGTACATTATTAACAATGTAACACTCGAGTGGTGATAAAATTGCTCTTCAATGAATCGTGAAAACGTTTTTTTCCATCCAGCTGGACAGAGGGAAATATTAGACTTTTCATGGTTCAACGGGGAACACTTTTTCCAAGAAACTGAGGAACCGTTTCGAATAAATCTTTGGTTCAATTGCAGAGATTGACATGGGATCAAATTGCAACGATTTGTAGCTGTGCTCCAGTTTCTTTTTCATGTTGTACTCTTGCAGTATATCGATTATTCCGAGATATAGAACAACATCATATACCTCAAAGAGTTCAACTTGGACTGAAGCTGCCTCATCCTGCATCACTTTTTGGTTTACTTGGGCTGGCATGTTTACACCTAATTGTACCCTTAACCTGAAAAATAAAAATAAAACTGAAAGCTGTTATGACATTGGGTGAATTCTGCTGGACAGCAAATAACATGATAATGGTTCCTCATTTTCCTAAATCTGTTTGGGTCCCCTCTCATTCGCTTATCTATTACAGTGCCTCTCACAAAATCCTACTGCTTGTAAATCGTGATGGGCTGTGACACTCCACTAATTTTGAGAAGATTAGAGATTAATGCATAATGACGGAAAAGTATCCATGTCAGTCCTAAACAAAGGATAAGAAGCAGATGAAATTACCTTCCAGTACCAGGCAAAAGAAGATCAACCTCCTGGTCACCAACGGACATGGCTCTCAGTGTACTTCCTCTTACATGAGGACCTGGTGTATCATTGACAGAACTGGGTTCATGCGTTACTAAAAGCAAACCCCTTGGCGGAATTGAGAGCTCCCCCTGAGATATCCCACCTTAATGCATTGGAATAAGAAATCAATAAGCACCAGTTTAACTAGAAAAAAGATGTCATTGAGCATAAAGAACAAAGATTTCAGAAGAAAGTTAATCACCATTTTCACGATCCCCCAGCCTATCAAGATAAATGAGTACAGAAATGAGAAATGACATGCACAGAAAGAGGATAAATGGGAACTGACCCAGAAAATAAGGTAGTAACAACTCATACAGGCTTATAACTATCATTGGATTAAGGACCAGAAAGTAAAGAGGAACAGGCACAAGAAAGGTGCTGCATAACATGGACTTACTGGGAACCAAGAAAAAACATTACAGAAGAGGGATGGAGTTCCAAAAATAACTATTTTCAGGTCGAAAATAATAGTACCAGACAAGAAATCTGCTACAATCCTGTGCAAGGCTGGACGGCCCAACAGAATAACCGAATCATGCCAAGAAACCTCAAGTCAAGACATGAGCACCTTAAAACGCACCCCAGATATGGCATGGCATCATGCGGTAACAGTTCCTA